CTTATAAAACTATTGCAAGAATTCGTACGGAAAGCAATCTGTTAAAGGATGTAAGCAATTTCTATGAATGCGTATTAAGAAGTAATAAAGAAGAGTTTTTGAATAATATGTTGAAATTAAGGGTAAAAAAATTTAATAAGTATAATTAAAGACTTATTTCTTTATCAGTCATATTTTAATAAGTCAGTTACAAGTTTTAAATAATATTTAAAAAAATCCTTATTTATTCCTTTCAGAAATTCAGAGAAGTTAAGTACTATTTAAAATTTCGCTATTAATTAAAAGGTGCTCTAATTTGAAATGGACCGAATAAAGCATTATTATAAATTGATTACATTTTCGATTTAAAAGATGCCTAAGCTTAAATCATGTCATATTTGAGAAGATTTTAGCAGCTCTATAAATGGAAAGAAATAATGATAATTTAATAATAAATAAACTTTGATCTTAATTTTTAATCCTTAACCGAATTACCTTAATTTTTTTTTCTAATATATAACGAAAACTTGTAAACTATTGCAAATTAATCCATTTGAGCAACTGTTCTGTGGAAAGTATAGTTAATTCCGTTCAGAATGAAATGTTGTTTTAAAATGTATTCTTTTCATATACTTAGGCCTCTGAAGTATTGTAAAAAAAGAAATATATACATTTATAGCAATTTACGCGAATTAAAATATTACATCCGATCGTGTCAAAACACATTGAACTCAATGGTAAATTACCCAATGTTTTGGTCACCAAAGAAGGGATCGCCAGTGCTTCAAAGCAGTTTAGGGCCACTCCCAACTAACTTCCTACCTCCATGGCTTGAATCCCTGGGCCTGGTTCGGCGGAGGGTGCGGACTCGTAGTATCCTACTGCATGGCGGAACGAGGAATGCCCAAATAATTAGTAAGGCAGAAACTCCTTTGCCCGTGATTCTGAGGTTCGTCCCGGTATATTTTGTTGCAATTACGATATGTTTATTTCTGTCAGCTTTCAGTTTAGATCAACAAGGCGTATGTATGCATGAGAAAGTTAAAAATAAATTAGAGATGGTAAGGAGCTTCACTGATATTTATGAAGCTTTACAAAAAAGAAAAAAGAAGGGGGTATTACACTGGGAACTGGTCCTTTAGAAAACCGAAGCCTTTGCTAACCTGTATGCTTAAAAGCCCGAAATGGCCATCCCCGTCCACTCCGTTATTAACGCCCAAAGAGGTGTGAAGATTTTAAATGACTTCCTTTCTACTGCCTAACAAAGAAGCTTCCGTTAGCCTTTTATGGCAAGCTGTCTGCAAGAAACCGAACCTTCTACTGCATATCTAAAGGAAGGGAAAAACAACATTGCAATCTCAGCCGTTTAAATGAAAGGCTGTCTCGCCCTTCAAAGGGTTAATATAGTTAAATGTTACGATTGTTAGGGCATAACGAATGAAGGGTGATGAGCCATAAATTCATCCTCCCTTTACGTTTACACGAGAGGGTGGAAAACAAAGGCTGAAATGGGAATCATGATCAAGGGTTATTTCCGATTCGAACTGAACTGTGAATAAAATCGTCATGGCTATTTTGGGAAAATGACTTAGTTTACCTGAGTCATATGGTCAGGTGCCCCCATCCTGTATAGAACTGCGTCGGAAGGAGAACATAACGTTGAATTATAATTAACATGATGATTTGGAATAGAGGCAAAAGCCATTTCTCAAGCCATAAAGTCGTCATCGGACGATACCTCCAGAGTGAAGTTTTGTAGAATAGTTATAGTATTTCATGTCATTAGCCCGTGAAATATGATAAGCAGTTAAGGAATGAAATAGTAAATAGAAGAAAAAAGAATACGGGGGAGCGTGGCATCAAATCCAACATCTTGTAGAGGGTGTAATCCGTTCGTAAGCATTTTCTCACACATTTTATCGCAAAGCGTTAGATGGAAGTTCCAGTGTATTTAATTAACAAATGCACTCCTTTGAAATACAGAATAACAATCAAAACTGTATTTAGAGTTAGGAGTTTTCATCAGTTAACTATAAACTTCAATAAGGTTCATTATTCCTACCGGTCTTAAAAAACAGAAGTTGGAAAATGCTAGCAAGATTGGCCCGAAAAAAGCTTTTTGAGAAGGCGAGGAGACACCTTGGAATGTCGGGGCATTGAGGAAGAAGGAAGGTTGATTAAGATTTTTAATTTGTCTTCGAAATGAGAGGCCAGAAGCTTTTAAGAATTTCAATTTATTTCGTACAATGCATGGATAAATACCTATTTAATGGCAAACGTTTCATATTTTTTGCGTTCAAGAAATATCGTTATCGAACGAACCTTTTAGCACACATTATTTGATTCGCCTCTTGAACTGGAACAATAGGTTTACCTAAAGCTGCAAATACTAGAAATTTACTCCCATTATTAAACGAAGTGCAGGGTATGCAGAGTTTTGAGAAGTCCCCAACAAAGGCATCCATCAGCAGAGCATTCAGGGGCTATATCTTTACCGTAAAAATCAATGACCAGTCAGTCGTTTTAGAGTACAAATTGAATTATGAAGTCTTCTTAAATGTTGCAAAAGTACTTTTCAGAAAATGCCTAACAATAATTGTATTTCTAAGCACAGGTCGCTTGAAATATCCCAAATCGTAAAATCACGACTTTTGTAAAGGAACTTAGCAAGAGCATTATCTTATTTTGATGAATAAGTGGCTTAAATGCCAGCTATAATCACGCAGTATTATGTATAAAAAAATTTGCTGGCGTCAATAGTGCACAAGTTGGCGTCTTCGAACAATCCTACTAAGTAAGCTTCGCTGGCTTCCTGAAGAGCCATAACTGCTGAGCTTTGAAATCGGAGATCGATCTTAAAATCTTGAGCGATTTCTCTAACTAAAAAAAGGAAGATGCTAACTCATATTACCCATTAATTGTGCTAATTTTTATTTCAAAATCAGCTTTTTAGTTTCGCAAAATTATCCTTTGCAGATGCTGCTCATGCCAAAACTCGGGTGCATTACATAAATTGACGATATATCGATCTTAAATTACTAAAATTAGAATAAATTTTCTTAATTTGGCTCCAGGCATTACGAAATTCCGACACTGATTTACCGAAACCTACACCTTTTCTTTCATGCCATATTGTATTCAGTTACCGGATTACTTTCCTTTGTGGTTTTACTTAAAATTAGCTTAATTTTATTCTTACGAGTACTCATGACAAGAAAAAAATGCTGCTACGAAATATATCAATTAGTAATAAACTTGATTCGTGGAGGGGGGGTCAATTTTCAACCTATCTATTATACAAAAATAATCAACTGAAGGAAAAATTTTCAGGCTCTCTCCTTAGGCAAATTAGCCCTCATGTGCTTTGCCTTAAATGTTAAAATAAATCAGCAATATTTTCCTACTGTTCAGGCTCCCGCAGTTAATTGCGATCTCAAACACAAAAATGACATTAGGTTTTACTGCATTATAATTGGGATAATTAAAAATACCAAGTTTAAGGACACTGTCCAAAGATACCCGACTGAATTTCGTATTTAATTAGTAAAGCATCCATAAATATTTTAAACTTTTCATAAAATAACGTTTTATTAACGAAGGTGTTGATAGTCTCAAATGATCTTTCCCGGTAACACGGGCCTCTCAAATTTGATTCTTTCGCCAACGATCTTCCACACTTGGTATTTATACATCAAATGCGAAATGGCTTACCACCGAAAGCCAACAAACGTTAGGGCATAATTTCCTTTCACAGCAGGAGCAATTAGGAATCTCATTCCATGCAATCATTGGATACCATTTCCCCTAATAATTTCTTTCATCTCAACAGCGTTTTCTGTTCCCCTATAGCTCAGATTCAATGTAACTAAATAACACAAATCCCTAAAAATTGTTTTCCCTCCTTTCACTTAAAATATTTCATACTTTTGCAAGTGAATAATCTCATTACTTTATTTTAATTCAATGTATCAGCTATTGAATGGATGAGACTACCCATATTTCATCTTGGATTCAAATAGTTTCTCCTTAAAAACCTAAAAGGAATTCCTATCAGATTTTTAAAAAAGGGGGAGGGGAAACACGTATAAGGATTACTTATTCGTATATTAAATGTTTATTCAATTACTGTATTTGCTGGCATATTAGGCATCATCTCAGTTTATTATTAATTAGGATATTACAAGTTTGTGAATGGGTCAAAGGTTCATGGGATGTTGTCAAAACGGAGACAGTGGTTAAATCATTTAAGAAGTGTGGCATCAGTAATGCACTGGACGGTACAGAGAACAATTTGTTGTACGAGGCCTCAGGTACTGATTTAGTACAGGTTTCAAGTGACTTACTTAGATCAGGAGATGAGTTTCTAGATTTTGAAGAAAATTAAAAGGTGTTCTTTCCCAGATAAATTGGGTTTATTTGCAGAAAGATCAGATTATCTGGGTGTCCCAGGTAGATCAGGTATTACTTCATATTTAAAATACTGTAAATTCACTACAATGATCAGTAATAAAGTTTCATCTTTAAAAAATGTGTATAAATAAGAGGGTGCATCTTGTATGCTGGCAAATACGGCATGTGTAATTATTACTTTTCAGTATTTAACTATTTAAAAATTAATTTAAATATTAAAAAAATCAGCTCTTTAAGCATCGATAAGAGGTACAATGGAAGTGAAATCTTGCTATCTTTTGAAATTTCAATACATGTACATGCATACACATGGAAATACATATGTTATGATTCTGAGCTAATTTTTATTAATCTTTTAAAGAATCTGAACTTTCAGATTTAGGTGTGAAAGGTATTTATGTAGTAATTTGGCTGCTCTGATTATGATAAAGCTACATCAGCAATGTGAAATGAGGTATGAGTTATGTAATCTTCATGTCAATACTATTTTTTAAATCTAATATCATAGTCTGCAATATAAGTCATTTTAAAGAATACTTTTCCTTTCTTTGAGGTTCTCTTCACCACAAACTAGCTGCTGGGAAGGAAATTCAATTAATAAAGCAAACAAGTTGATAAAAATGGCTCTTTTTTTATTGACTTCTGTGATAATAAAACAAACAAATGATATGTCTTGATTAAACAATCGAGAACCAGCTATCAGAATCATAGCAGCTCTCAAGATTTTTAAGCAATTAACTTTCTTTTGAATATATATTTATCTTAAAATGTCTATTATTAAAACAATTGGCACTTTTCCAAAAAATTACCCACAACGGGCATTGGAAAGTTGTTGGTATTTTTGGATTGAGAGAAACCAACACAGACAACTGTCAGATCATGTCATAAAGGAATAAAGTATTTATTGATATTAATGATACATTTTTATTTTATAAACTAGTTTTGTAACAATGCTGTTTCCGTTATTAGGCTTGTTATTGCTAAAATGTGGTATGTCTAGTTAAAGTGCAAAAATACTAATTAAGACATCTTAAAATATTTAGTATTTTTAATTGAAAGAGTTTTAAGATATTGAAATACAATCCATAAAAACTGGCATTACTATATAAATGGTCGATATTGGATTTTACTCAAAACACTGTATACTCTTTGGCAAAATATATATATATATTTATATAAAATATATCCCAAATAACTAAATAACGTGAACCAAACCACATCTTACATTATAAACTTTTCATTTAACTTTTATTACTATTGAAACACTTTGAAAATGTCAAAAATAAAATCATTAGCAAACGTGAAAAGGAAAAAAAGTGTAACATTTAAGTACGTAAATCACACACGCAAGCACACTCCAGTCAGCGCGCTCGTGTGCAGGTTAATTCCAGAAAATCCAAAATAGATTTGTTCACAATATATTTAAAAACTTGAATAATAAAATATATATGCAGGGAATCGATTACTTCAGAGCATGGAACCTTGGTACGTAATGAAAAAATGTGTGGGTATTTGCCTTGTACACACTACAAACCAGTTAGTACAGAACATGTTATTACAACCCTCTCATTACAGATGAACACTTTTGAGCAGATAAGAGAGTTGTGCCAAATAAACACTTATTTTTAAATACAAGCGCAGATAAAACTTCAGATCTTCCAGAATACATGGTAACATTCATACAGATAAAAATTCTTTACTTTGTAGATGGCTTTATTATGCAACACATTTAAAAATTGTTGATGTGCGAGTGACAAAAATCTTCCAAAAAGAAACAACACTCATTACGTATTTATACAATATCTGTTAATATTAAAAAATCTTCAGCACCGTAAAATTACTCAAGTTTTAATTGCTATACACAACCATTGTCATTTCTAGACCTCAAAAATTTATATATAAGCTCCAGAATAACTTTTCAATCTTAAAACTCAGGTACAATATATATGCTTTAATTCATCAAATTAAATAATCTGATAACACTTTCATTTTTTACAGACTATATTTTTTTATAATTTACATGCTTCTTTCAATTTTCATATATCTCCAAGCATTGTTATGCGTTGATAGAATGCCTTTCACATAAAATAAGTTATAACTATGTTGATATCTTTTTCAAATAAAATTACTAAAAACATAACACAAAGAAATTAAGCCTTTAAACAAAACCCTGATAAAACATCGAATAATATGCATTTCATAGAAACAGTTAATATAATACACATATAATATAATATATAAGAAAACGCCCAGGAACAGAAAAAAATGTTCATGTCAAGCATTTTATCACAGCACATAATTAAATACTGTATTTATTTTATACATATATATGAGCTTTTTCTATTTACAAAGCCATAATGCTAAATTTCTCTATAGAAATGTCAACAGCCAATTTATAAATTTGAGTTTGGCATCTAATTTTCTGTAAAATATTGTTATATCTCTAATGCATTTCAATATTGTACTATTAATGAATCAACAAGGAATATAAACACCCAGTGCAAGAAAGCTATGATATAGATACTCGGTTAACGCAGACGTACCGGGCTAAATTTTAAATACTTTTTATATATGTTGGGCTTAAATTATTTCAGACATCCGCAACTGCATTGAAATAATTTAATGAAAGATCTTTGATATAAGAAAATGAACGATTTATAGCTCTGTCACACAAGCTGTTACGATTTCAATTTCTGAAAAAACCGACATTAAAATCTTTTGACCATTTCCTGTACAAATTTTTTGATTCATTCTGTTATCAAGACTGAATAAAGTAAATGCACTCAGAAAAACTACTATAAATTGTTTTGACACTCGCACATCCTTTTTCTATATATAACATTAAAAACACATAAAAATCAGAAGCATTCTACATCAGGACTAATGTACAAGGAAAATAAGTAAAACCATACAACAGCTACACAACTAATGGCATATACACAGCATGTCCCTGATAAGGCAACATTATATTAGCACTGTTTACAAATAGTAGCAATACTGATATTGTAAAATTGTGAGCAGTTACAAACTTGGAGTGCCTTTCCGACTTAAATACTAGACTGGTCGCTAACAACATTGGCAAATCTTTCAGATCTAGAGATCACTTGCAAGCACACTTGTCATAAATAGCAAACTTACCATAGAAACACATTGCAGAAACTATCTTATTTTCCACAAACGCACCAAGTTATGCAGATTGATGTTTGTAAGTTAGAAATTGCATATAAATACAAGAGCTCTTCTTCCGAGAAAGCTCTCAAAATTTGTCTACATACTTATTGCAACAGGGATACAAGACAGCATTTAACAATAATCACAAAGCACTGTTACTTATTTTTTATATATTTTTTAAAATTTTTTCTTTCAAGAATACGTAAAGCTACTTATTTTACATAACAAATGAGAGAAAATAAGTGCAAAATCTTTCTCATAACAAAAAAGAAAAATATGCAAAACGCAACATTAAGAAATAAAAGTCTGGAAGACTACAATGAAAATATAATTATTCAACATTCTTTATACGTTGCACTCAAAAATTTAATGCAGAAAAATAGACAAATATAAGTTCTCATCTGAATATAATAACAGCCACTATCGGCTTTAAAATAAAAACATTACTATAATTAAAATATTTCGCCTACATATACAGAAACCACATAAATATATTAAAATAGGAATACTAAACAATATTAAAAATAGCAAATTACTAAACCTCTTTTTTGTGCAAATTAGTTCCTTGGCTGCACAGAAAGTTTAACTGTCACAAATCACAAGACTTACATATGCAGCAACAAGGAGGGGTGATAACTGACTATAAAATTCGTAAAGATAAAATATTCCTGAAACAAGCTTCAGGACTCTAAAGATATTCATTTCAAATGGCAACCAAATTATATATGTGCAAATATTACATACACATGACAATTAAAACTACATAGTTTAAAAAGTTCATATGTGGAATATACACCTGAATAAGTAGCTTCATTTTACAGTTCTTAAATACAAATTAGACATCAAAGAATATAATCTTTATAATAATTAATACTCCATCTTATACTCGAGATTGTGATGCAGCAAAATACACAGCTCTTACATCTACTCATATAAGTTAACACCATCTTCTTTAGATGGATATATGGAATTAAATGATGGGGAGACCAAGTTAGTGACTATGGGCATGGAGACATACACTCACACACAAAGTGAAGATATAAACAAATAAAAAAAGATGAGAATGCAAAATCGTTTGGCTCTGGCACTTTTGCCAGGACTTGATATTTCAGAAGCTGCCTTAGGTCCTTAGGAGTAGATGCGAATGGCTTGGGAAGCAGGTGTGTGACATTCCGGACATTCTGAACCTGACTTTTCACAAATTCGATTGGCGCATTCCATGCAGAACAGGTTATGGCCACATGGCACAAGGGCAGCAACAATAGCACTCTCATAGCACATTACACACTCCCGTTTAGATTTATTTCCTGGGGCCAATGATTCGATGGGGCTGCTCGAAGAGCTGCTTGTGCATTTTGTTGCAGCGGCAGGAAATCCAGAAGCTAAAGTCACTGGTGATGTGCTTGCCAAAGGAGAGAAAGAAGACATGGATATTGTGCTTCCCAGATTACAAAGAATATCCCCAACTTCTGGAACTGTCAGAGGGTCACTTCTAATTCGTCGAGCAGGAGGATGATCTCCGACTATGAGATCTGTGAGTGCACCACTAATGCTATTACTTCTCTGTGACAAATCTGATAATCCTGTGCTGCTCCCACTTATAGATGTCGAACCAAACAATGAAATCCCACTATCTGTCAGAGTAGATGTTCCGAAATCAGGCCATGATGAGGCACTGAGAGAAGCACCAGGTGCCTCAAAAGTTGGGGAATCCCCAAGGCCCTCGTCAACATCGTAAAGCCCGAAGTTACTACCGAAACCAAAGATATTGTTAAACATATCATTCTGCTTTGAATTTCGGCCTGTGGAAGCCGAAAAATTAAAAATGTTGTCCCCAGGATGGAGATCTAAAAGATTATTGCTATCACGAGGAAAAGGGCAAACAAAACCATTGCCCATATCTGTCTTAAAAAGAGAGCTGTTTATGGCATTAAGGTTATTTGTGAAAGATTCCAGAGCATTTGAATTGAAATCATCATCGACTGCATCAACTGAACCACCAGTTCGCATGGCAATGTGGGCTTCTATTTCTTTTCGAGCACTTTCTACGTTATCTGGCAAACCTGTCACTTCAAAGATTGGTTCCTTATCTCTGCTTGGAGTAACAATATATGTGTTAGTTTGCTGTTGAATTCGTTTGATTGTTGCACCTTTGGGCCCTACAACCAGTCCCACGACACGATATGGAACTCTGACTTGGATTGTCGTCTGGCCTGGAATGTTAGAGTTGGGACCTGGTATAAGGGTTCCGTTGAGGTTATTTTTCCTTTGAGCTCGTATCTGGCTGAAATGTTCAGCTGCAGAGAGAATTTCACGTTTTGCAGAATTGACATCTTCCTTTCTGCCTGTAACAACGAATACTGGCTCTTCTCCTCGCACAGGAGTTTTGATGTAGGTATTTGTCTTTGCTCTTAGTGCTTTTATCTTGCAACCTAAAAACAAAAAGTAAATTAAATATTTCATATGAATATTTTCGATGTTTACATTTTAATCATACAAGAAATGAAGGTTTCTGGAAAACTGATCAATTTACATGACTTTATGTACTTGATTTAAATTTAATCGGGAGTTAATACTTATTGTGCAACATTTATGAAATCTAAAATGTGCAAGCCTACCACATAACTAATTAAACATTATATCTTGTTTAGAGGTACATGCACAGGAATTATTGCAAGTTTTATAAATGACATACTTTTATAAAACTATATTCTAAATTTAATTTCTAGTTCAGTTTTGCTGTGCAATGTTTAGGACAATAATCTATACAGACACAACAGACTGCATCAAGTTTCAAAGAAAATTTAAACTTAGTGGCCTGCGATGAATTTTACTAACTACTACTACTACTAAAAAAAAACTTCTTTAATTATTTCTTCTTTAAATTAAGTTTGATTACTTTCCCGCATTAAACAGAATTAAATTACCGATGCTTTGCTCAAATGTCCTTTTAGTAATTTAACTAACGTTTTTCACTCAGTTTTATTTTAATTGCTATAAGTATTCACTTAACTTCCTAAACGCGTTTTTCACTCAGTTTTATTTTAATTGCTATAAATATTCACTGAGCTTCGCATCAAGTAAGGAGCAGAGCTCAGCGATTAAATAAACAAAATAAACGACGACCCACAAAGCTTCCTGTTTACAAGACTAAAGGAAGACCTCTGCCTCTTATATTGCCTCTCGCTGAAGCGTCCATGCTGATAAAAATAATAATCAAAGGATATTAAAAAAGAAACGACAAAACACCTGGCAGTTGCAGCAAGTAATGGACATTTTTTAAACACAAACTTAACTTTGGTGTCAAGACAGGATAGTACGAAATCAAAATTAATTTATCAAAACTTGAAAAAGCCGGTATGTAGACTTTTACCGCAAAATCAAGAATGTTCGAATTCCCATTTGATTACGGGAAATAAACCTTTTTGAAAATTCAGTGCAAAAAATTTTTTTACCAATACGTCGGAATTCAAACCAACTAGTTAAAAAAATAGTTCGGTTTGCCTTACAGCAATCAGATTTATGTACTACTGGGGCAAAAAATTGCCTATATTTGTGACAGATCTTTATTCTGAATACAGTGGTCCATGAATACAAAAGGAGAGGTGGAAAACTACAGGCTATAATAAATGTCTGTTTACAAACTAAAAAGACAATACTACGCATGATTTACCGCCATGACAGGCAGCAAACTTTCTTACAGCCTCGTTATTAGCGTTCCTAACAGAAATGAAGCTAAATAACAGAAAATAGAAGCTGCGCCAAAGTAGGTATGCCAATACGTAGTATCACCTTGGTTAAGGCTTTTTTTTTTTCTTCAATTTTAATACCATGTTTTATTATGACTTGACTTTCACATAATTTAGGAGTCAACTTTATCTCAGTACATTCATCACATCCCTTGAAAATAATAAATGTATTTTAAAATTATTCTTTCCTAACAAATTAGTATACATCTGAAAAACGGTCAAATTCGGGGGAGTGGGAGGACTTTTCCCTTGCGCAACCGAGGTACCGATTATGCAGACATAATCTAAATAAGCCAAACCGAAGAATGGAACCAAATCTGTTGCCTATTTTCATAAACCCAGTTAAAGGTTATCGATTACCAACGATTACTTTTAATTAAATTTTCCAATATTATACGTTGCGATTCTTAAGTGGCCTAGGAAATAAATGATTATAGTTTGGTTTATTTGATTACGGCTAAGCCAACACCCTTAGAATAACTATGTAGAAAGTAATTTATCTAGGTGTTGGCTAAGCAATCGAGGGCCATCTTCTTAAGGATGGATTGGATTATTCAATTATGGCAAAGCACACGAGGGCTATCTGCCTACATCTTCTTAAGGAGAGGGTTTTGCAAGGGTTTGGTTTATGTAATTATGGCAAAGCCTCGAAGGCTATCTGCCTAAGGGGAGGGATGCCTTCGTGGAGGACTAAGGGGAACTAACTCGTATACACGTTACACATGGAGAAAGAAAAACACGAAAACGCCCATTCAGCCAACCCGTTCGTCGTATTCGAACCTCGGATCGAACTACCAGTGTTCTGCGACTTGACATCGGCCGCTGCTGTGCCGGTTCCTTAAGAGAAACTTACCCGTTACACATTTCAAAAACAACGAAAACCTCATGCAGCCAGTCCTTTCTCCAAGATGCGAAACCAGCATTTAATTACCATTGTACAGTGCCGTTACAGCTCTGCCGCTGGTGGACCGGTAACGAGTCGAGTTATGAATTAATCAGAAATGCAAATTTCAAAAAAAAATCCCAGATTTTCCTTTCCTTGGAGTTTGGAAAACTAAAATACAGAAGGCATAAAGTAAGGGGCATATCGTGTACGAAATGAAAAGTAAGAAACTTTCGAAGTACTTAAACGGTATAAGTCGACTAATTAAAAATTACGAAAATTATTATGCTTCTTTAGAAAACGAGACGTTACCCTAAAACAGCGATTTAAAAATATTTTAGACAATCGATTCGAATCGAACTAATAGCGTTCAGCGGCTTTGCCACTGGTGGGCTCTATCGTTTTAGGGAAGTGGCTTTTTTTAACGTTTGATTTTCTTAAAAATACGGGTCACTTTCGGAGGTGATCCAGCTGTGGGCGCAGAGATGAAGAGGGTATACTTTTCCCTTTAAAGGTAGTCAATTCTGGGTAAAATATGCGATTACATAAGCATTTCGAAAAATTAAGCTGTTCAATTAATCAAATTTAAATTGTGATTAATTGAATCACAAATTTAAAATCACGATTTCGAAGATGGTTATCCAAAGAATAAAAATTCGGCACATAAGTATTTGTTCATTTAGAGTTCGCAGTATCTTCTGAAATATACAACAAGCAATTTGATGGACTGTTAAAAATGCGAGCAAAAGCAGTGCTCGTTCATACGTCAAAATACGACAGAATTTTAGTTAAGCTAAACTTGCAAGGAACAAAAAAAAATCGACGAGATCATGCAGTTCCAGGAATTTCCACCTTCGAATTATTCTTAAGAACTGTTTAAAAAACGCATTCGCATACAGTACTACAAACTTTCTGATATTATGAGGCATTTTCTGTTACTTCAAATTGGCCAGTTAATGAGGGGAAGGCCGCAAAAATCACGGCATAAAATGAAATCTAATTTTCGCCAGACTTTAAATTTCTTTCCTCCAATAATAAACGTCTTCAGTTTCATAGGAACTTAATTCTCTCAGAAATGCACTGGAATATCAAGGAAATTTACAAGAATCGAATTGGTCAATGGAAAAATAACTCTCTGCTAGCGTCTAGATTTCAAACAGCTAGAACAGCATTTTAAAGTCTTAGTATATGAAAAGACGAAAGTAGTAGGACAATATGAATTACTAAAACAAACTGACTGAGAAGAAAAGGGGGTAAGGCTTTGAGCAAAATGAGATTGATAAGACTTGAAATCTCTATTGCGGAGGTTCTTAACCTTTTTTCTCTTTTGCTAGACGATCATCCCTCCTCATTCAAAAAGGACATTTCCTTTAAATTACTTTTAATGCGTTTTATAAATTAAACAGAAAAGTTTAGAAAATATCCATAAATACACAACTGGAATCCTTGAATAAAAGTCGTTTTTATATTCATAAAATAAAACTAAATACTTATGAGGTAAATAAAAAGTTGACCAATTCAACCCTGAAACTGAAATTAACCGCCTCCGGTTGAAAACCCCTCTCTATCATAACTTTTCCCGCCAAGAATGCAAATTATTCCACTGGATGGAAAATTAGTCCATGAAGTTGATCACAAATTCTTATTAGCTGTTAGTTTTATGTTTATGCACCTGTTCGAACAGAATTAACGGACGGATGACTGTATCGACAGACGATAAAAAGATTTTTATACACTGCTCTCTCGTTCGATTAACATAACATTTAATATTCGTGTTTTATTGTACAAACAATTCTTTTGAAACTTACTTGTACGAAGTGAAGGAAGCGCTGTAACAGAGAAAACCTTCCGGTTATCATATTTTAACGAAAATATTCATTCTGACCGCTCTAGAATCCATCTGAACGATTTTACTTACGAACAGAATAAAGGATTTTTCTTTAATTCCAAAACGGATCGGAAAATTGATTTAGAGGGGATTTTTGCGTAACTAATAAACGATTAGCCTAGAAAGTTTAAATTTTAAATAGTTTTAAGTTTCACTAGGCCTAACGTGGCGGCTATTTTTTTACATTTGAAACTTAATAGCACAGTGAGTAAAGTTAGTTGATGCACAAAGCTGCGCACCAAAAATTTTGTCTTGTACGTTGGACAAATTGCTTGTTTTTGCGTAGAAACTAATTTTAATTGTAAACACTGCTTTTTAAAAGTTTTAAATCTGTATTTGGCGTTTTAAGTTTTCCTGTATTTAACTATTCTTAATGAATATGTTTTGAGTTTTTACGTAATTTTGCCTTGCCGCGAAGTGAGAACTGAATTGATTGAATGAGAAATATAAATGTAATGGTTTGGTTTTATGTGATTACGACAAAGCCTCGAGGGTTATATGCCTAAAGGCAGGGATGCCTTCTGGAGGACTTAGTAAGAGAAACTGGCGCTTGGATGCACGTTATATATGTGGAAAACCACGAAAACGTGCGCAAAATTATTTTTAACATAAGGTGGTTGCGTTATTACGTAATTATCCAATTTTTTGGGGGAGACAACAAATTGCTGCAATTTTATAAAATTTAGAAATCAGCATTCAACGTAAAACATTACGGCAGGCCATTTGACACCCCCCAAAAAAACTTATTTGTTTAAGAAAATTATAAAAAAATATTAAACAGTAGTGAATAACTGAAGCCTCTGAATCTGAATCAGGATATACGTAAATCTTACTATGGATTAAGAATGCACCACTACGACTTCCCTAACAAAAAAATTACTCTACCGCAAGGCTTCACAGTATGTGGTATTT